GTTTGTAGATCCTTCACCAGAGTTGTGTTTGTCTCAATTTTCTAATTTCTAAGTTTACATTTGTCGATCATTTACTGGGTTAGATGTATTTATTTTTACTATTTATTGTTTTACTTCGTTACTAGTTAAGGTAATAATATATAGTACAAAAAAGTACAACTATCCAATCAGAATCTTTAGTTTTTAATATCAATAACTTTTTTAGGGTTTCAGTGGCATCAGTTTCTAAGTTTTCATGAGACAGCACCCAGAATCGTTAAATGGCATTGTACACATCTTTTTTGTCAATATATTTGTCAGGATACTTTGCTTTCAAAAGATTATACTACAAAGTAGCACCTATACCCTCCATAGAACATGTATAAAACCTTATATCCTCAATCATCTCTTCTGACAATTTACGAAAACATGGCGCTGTTTGAGCAACTAAGGATTCATTTCGTAATTGTGTTTATCAACAAAAGAGGTACAAATTATCTCCTTAGTTCCCTTACAATTATTAAAATTAACATGCCATTCACAATTTATTGTTGCTGAGGGCTTTTCATGCTGTTTAGTTATATCAACTACTTTTTTAGCCTTATACGCACGTGAATATGAGTATTCATAACTACGACGACAGATGCTTAAATAGTTTGAGTGAAATTCATTCCTGTTTTTTCTAAAAGAAAACCTTTTACACTTTCCAAATAATTCCAAGAATTTATCCACTTCCTCCCATTTATTAAACGAATGACCAATGTATAATTGCAAGGTGTCTTTACGTGATTCTTCATTATTATATAAACTATATTTATAAAGTAAATGTGTATTATTCATAAACACATATATAAGTAAATATCATATACCTTGTTTCATTTTCCAAATTGATAGTAGAACTATTATTATCCAAATCAACTATTTGATGGTCCATCTCTAATAACAAATCATTCGGCTCATTTTCCAGACTAGAAGCCAAAAGTCACCAATAAATCATTAATTATAAACCTAATCAAACATTAATATTTAGCAAACTGATGTGAGTCTAACCTTTCAAAGCCCTGATTCGACGCAAGATCATGAGCATCTTGTGAACTACAAAAAGTGAACTCAATATAATTTACAAAAACACCCTGCTACAAGCAAATACTACATACCTTTTTTCAGTCTCCTAATTAAAAGTCTGACTTGAACTGACAATTTGATGGCCATAAGTCTCTACTAACACATTGTTTGATTCATAAGCGTTGTGTAAACTACATAAAAAAAAAGCAACATCAGCATTATTTACAGAATACCCAGATACTATATAAGCAGATATAATATACCTTGTTCTATTATCTAAATTAAAGGTTTGATAATTATAATTCGATTGATATTCACATGTATCAAATAACAAATTGCTTAGTTCACAACTAGATTATAAATAAAATGTTAACACAATTATTTTCATAGTCCTGATTAAATGCTAATTTATTAACTATCGTAGAACTAATCTTCCAAACTCTTGATTCCATGTAAGATCAATTCTATATTCTATAACAAGATTACTTGGTAACCATTAACAGAGCAAACTTGTTAGAAAATAATTTTATAGTACTACTGATCCTTCTAACTTAACCTTGCAGAGTTAAACGACGTTGTTATACTGTAAAACGATCCAAAGGTATGATTTTCCATAATCTACAGGCCGAACACTTATATGCTATGCTTTTCATGAGAAAAATGTGACTATTTTTGGTAAACGAAAGTGCAAGCGAAAAGAAAATTAATCGCTGTCTGATCACCTCTATTTGTTTATTAGTTAGGTAAACAATGTGAATACGTATTATATACATACTCTGCATCAATTAATTTCTGAGGGTCTGGTTTCTACCTTTGCACTGTCGTACCACATAATATATATTATATATATATTATTATTAATGTAAATAAGGTGATAATCACCTGTCGTACCGCATAATATATATTATATATATATAATATATATAAATAAGTTGATAATCACCTGCGGTGATTACTAGATATTTTCTAAAATAAAATAAAATAAAATAAATTAAATTAGGGTGTGGCGACTTAGTGAAGTGGTCTAGTTGTCACTCCACCAAACGGCAAGTCTAGTGTTTAAATCCCATAGACGATAATTTCAAATACTGGGCTGTGTAAGGTTAACAACTATTTCAAAAATGGCTTGGATCTTTGATCTGTAATCTTAAATAAAACCATTCTCGAATGGAAAGTGAGCTATCGCAAAGTGGTAAAGCGTAGGCTCTGCATCTGTGTATAGGTTATGCAGAAAAATGCATTCTGGTAATTATCAAGTGCAAACTCTATGATAAGTCAATGCCTGTAAATCCTAGGAAGCCGGGATAACTGAAAACCTGTTTGGGAAGACCTGAGTAGGGATATAACAGAAGCTTTCAACAATGCTGTGGAATGGAACTTGGACAGCACCAGTCCCAGGGTATTGTTCGACTGGACCTCTTAGAGGTGAGGGGTCGACCAGAGTGGCCACCGGAGTCGCACTAGAGGAAAAGAACAAGTATTATGAAATCTCATATCAGGAGTTCGGAGTTCAAGAGCACCTAAAGCTGGGATAAACCGATCTCGTTCCAGGCTAACTAACTGAGATCAAATGTTAAGCCGGGGAGAAAGATCTAAAAGGGAAGTGAAGTGGACATTGGGTAGATGTGAACCCTATAAGGGCAGGGATGTATAGAGGTAACACCCAAGAACTAACTTCGGTTTAAAGGCGTAACATCTCTGATACCTAATATGGAGTGTGTGGGACACAGAAGGGTTGGGTGGGCATATGCAGTCTACGCCCATCTAGGTAAGATAATTAGTTTACCAAATATAGATAAAGAAGATAGCAGTGCTAGATATAAAGGTACTAGGGTTAAATATATGTCGGATATGGACCGGTTAGATTAAATTCAATAGTGTAAATGCAATTTGTACGAGGGTCCTTGTTAGTGTTCCTATGAACCGAACTGAAACCGAACTTTGGTCAAGTTCAGGTTCATGTTCAGTTCAATCATGTTCAATATTGAACCTTCAAGTGAGGTTCATGTTCAGTTCAGTTCAGTATTGAACTTTTAAG